TGGAAGCTAGGTCGCTCGAGTCGGCTAGCAACCAAGGCATGCGCATACCCGAGAACGGCACCATGGAGCCTGAGAAGATCGTGGGTGGTGTGGTGAAAGTGGCATGCCGTCGATTCGAATCAGCTGCTCCTCCAGCGCAAGGAAAGATAACCCTTGTCGTGCTGAACCCCTCTCCTCTTGCACGATGTCGTGATCTTCACGATGGTGGAGGTATGATGTCCCAGCATGAATTGGTCGTGGTCCACGCCGAAGGAGGGACCGGAGTGATGTCCGTCCGTCCACCCACCACCATTCAAGGTTCGACCCCAATCCTGGCATGGTCACGCCGACCTTTGGCGGTGCCCATTGTTCTCATTGTCCGTATCTGCCGGGTCACGAAGGTGAGCGCCTGGACATCTCATCTCGCCAAGGCACGAGCCGAAGTTGATTCTAGAGAGAAACAGGTATGGCTCTTCGCCATGGAGGCAGAGCGAGGGTGGCAAAGCTCAGGACTGTACTCGACAGAAGGGGGAGGAGGAGAAAATTGCTTCCCCTCCTCCATCTGCGGACGGACGGTGATGGTGATGGGTGATGTGGTGTGGGTGGTATGGTGTAGAGCAAGGCGCTTGGTGTACAGTAGTGGCGGACTGGCAAGCCCACACGGTCCTTGGGGACGACCTAAACTGGACTGTGGCGCCTGTTAGCGTACCTGGGCGGGTGGCTGGCTTGGTGGCTCTCTGGCCATGACCACTGGGACCCTGCGGCCATTGCTTTTTATCCATGGAGGAGGGGGAGGGAGGGGGTGCGGTGCGCCCCTAGCTGCGAGACAACCGCCCGAAAAGAGAGCAGTATCTGGCAGGCTGTTCCTCTCGGATGTCGCTTGCTTCCGTGACGTGCGGGGATGAGCACAAGAAGAAGGAAAGAAGGTCAGCAGCAAGACATCTATACGGCGAACGGACCCTCGCAGGGCTCTCCCTAGCCTCGATGCTCGAAATTGAGATGGCCAGTCGAACACTGGCCGAAGGGGTCAAGGCTCACAGATCCAAGGCTGAAGGCTCGTGAAAGGGAAGAAAAGAAAAGAGGATCGTCGCGTCGGTGATCAGTGCCAACGGAAGCTGCTACTTTTTCGATCGAAATACTCCGACAAACGCAGCACTCATGAAGGGGTAGATGGCGGCGTGTTTCCTTGTTTCCTTGGCTCCGGAGGTCGGCCTTGGAAATGGCTGGGACGAGGTTGCATTGTCATTTGCGGCGCCATTGCCAGAGTGACATTGGATACCGACTTGGCTGAACAGTTCGTGAGAGCGAGATTGGGAAGGAGGGAGGGGGGTGCAGGTGGAGGCTGGAACGTCACTTCCTCCGACTGACAGTCAGTTTGAAATGCACCATCTCTGTGCAGTACCTGACCATGAAGAACATGTGGATAGGTAGGTACCATGTAGATACATAGGCTGGAGCCTCTCGGGGCTCACGTGTGCTCATTGGTAAAGGTGTGCTGTAGGTCCATGTTTGGCCCAAGCTCCTTAACGACGTGTTCCTTCCCTGCCCCACGCCGAAAAATGACAGACCTGGGGAGCAGGCGCAGGCCACAAAGAGGTCAATTCCCCAGGGGGGTTTACTGGGTTCCAGGCAGTTGCGAGGGAAGAGGGAAGGATGCAGCAAGGTGCACGGTGAGCGGAGAATTTCCAAGACCCCCTCCCAATGCTCCCCCTCCACTCCATCCACCTCCCCTTCTCTGTGCAACAGTAATACCAATGTCCAGAAGCCTACCAACCAGTCAACCGTCTCTTATTTTCTTGACCGAGATCTGGAATAAGAAATGCTACTGTCAGACTGCAAGGCAGCCCAACACCACGGCTGTCCAGACCTATCGAATTGCATTTGACAACTGGGAAACAACCAACAGACCGAATGTGGTAAGACGCATGCCACACCAACAGCAGTCCAATCGAGCCTGTCCACGACCTGTGCTGTTTCAGCGCGGCGGCTTTCCACTGTATGGGCCGCGTCTCATTGGACTGCCCAACGACTGGATCGTGGCCTGACCCGACCCCAACCTCGACCTGACGACCTGCACTGAAGAGGAGCTCAACGACGCCAAGAGGCTGCAAAGGAGGGGGAGGGGAGGCGAGGGAAGGCTCGTTTCGCTTACCTTTGCCATCACCAGCTCGCTTGTTTCGCTGGTCATCCAGCCTTCTTCGTCAATCAACCAATCCATCTACCGAATCCATACCCACTTGTTCCAGACCACGACACGCGGGAAAAGTCTGAAGGGCTTACCGGGCTTGTCAGCTGCTTCATCCCACGATGCCTCGCCTCACCTTACTCGCCTCATCCTCGTACCTGCCTCCAATCCACCGCATCGTGCTTCATTCGATCTGTCCGCCCGATATCCACTTTTGGTGGCCAGCAACGTGCGCTACTC